ACAGTTAAATTCTTTTTGCTGGTTTCCAAAGAAAGCAGTGATAAAATATAATCATTTGGGACTTGGGAGTTTTCTTCTTCTCCTACAGTGACAAGGTGCGCACTCTTAAAAATAGAGTATGTTAACTGTGCCAGTTACCTGGCTGCTGGAGGAACATCAGCATGTGGTCTTCTGTTTGCACCAAGGCTCGATAGCCCACAGAGTCATCCTTCTTCAGGAAAACTTGGATGTATAGCTGGAAAAAAGAGCAGGAAAAACAGTGAGGTTAATGATTGCATCATCTCCTTGGAGAAAACAGAACTCTTGGGTGAAACAAGAGCAAAGAATGTAATGTGGCGCATCCGCAGAATGCTTTTTGCCTTGTCTGAAGGGCTCTACCAATCCTGCCAAATCAGGGTAGGGAGAGCATTGCAAGTCTGATAAACCACAGGACTGAAATAATCTCTCCCTGCTCACCTGCTGTGGCTTGGCACCACTCTGCTCCAGGCTAAAAGTAATTGTGGTATCCAGCAATCTTTGTCCAGTTTCAACTAGGTAGAGATTAATATTGTAGGTTTGATTGGAACAGGTTAAGGATTCCTATAACAAGAGGCAGAAAATAGCTGAGTTAAACATACATGCCACACCACATTCTGCAGGATTTCATACTCAGCAAGAACTCTGGCTTCAAGATATTTTTAGATTATATATATAGAGCTGCTACAAAACATCAGTCTCCAAAATGACAGTGTAACAGCTTTTTCATTCTGTTCCTGCATGCAAAGGAATAAAATGGACTGTCAAGAACTTCACTGTTCTTGGAAACAAGTGCACTTCATACCTGCTTCTGGGAATCCTCCAGAGTACTTCCAGCGGCGAGGCCATCAGAACTTCCAGATTTCTGAAACGAGGATGAGAAAAGATAACATGGCTTCAGACCCCAGTACAAGTATAAAAAATGGTACATTTCTGAGTGCCTGACAAGCCTCAGCTTGACTCTGAAAACAGGCAGCAAACAGTTCTGTTCTATTTTATTCTATTCCTGATAAAAATGAGACCTTTTTTAAGTCTGGTAGCCCTAGGAACGGAAATCCTTTATAGACCAGTAAAGCCAATTCCTAGGTTACATACCCACAATACACAAGGCTGAAACAGGCTGCACACAGGAGAGCATGCTTCACCAAGCCAGAGGTAGCCTTAGCTGGATACAGTCAAGACCTGTTTGCATTACCATTGTCTACACATATCTAAGAAGCTAATTAAATCTTCCTCCTCCTGAAATGACTACCCATCCCTGGCCTATGAAAGAAAACACTTGTGGAACCCACCCCCAATGCAGATCCATACTAGAGCTGTGCTGGTTACGCAGCACAGGCAAATTGCACTCACCAGTTCACTCCTGCAGGTCAGAACAGCGGCCACAGTTTTCTCCCCAGTTGTTGCAAAACTCACCAGAGCTGCCTGGAAAGAAAAAAATAGCAGGCAAACATAAAACAAACATGAAAATCTCAAAACCCCACCAAAACCAACCTGTGCAGCAAATTAAGCCATACTAGAATTAAAAACAGATGATCTTTCACAGCCAAATCTTAAATTTCACTGCTTCTCCAAATAAAAAAAAAAAAATTACCTCTTATAAGACTGAAAATACTTCTCAAAGATGTAAACAGTTGACCTGCCACAAGCTTTTGAACCATTATGTTCAGTGGTACTGAGCTTTTTAAAGCTTGTTTGCTTTTCAAAACCTCTCAGCTGGCCTAGCAAAACTACTGCTGCACCACTGGCCTCTTAGACACACGTGTCTCTATATCCACCTCAAAACCAGGAAACTACCCCAATGCTGACAGTTCTTGGCAACAAAACACACTTATACCGATGTCTGGAAATACTTCAGCAGCTAGTATATGTGAAATCAAATGGTTTTCAAACATTGCAGCTGTGAGCACAATTGCAGTGATAAGCTCTGCAGTTTGTTCAGAACACTTACTACGGAGGCGTTTGTTTTAAAGAATTCTAAGCTGTAGTTGGCCCTCTCGCTTGAGTAGATTTATCTTGGTTACCTGCTGGAAGTCCCGAAGGTGGCTGAGCAGCCCGTGTTTGTACTGCAGCAGAGAGAAGTGGCTTGGAGACAGCTGCAAGAAGAACTGAGTCCGTGAAGCACTGATTACATTGGGTTGAGTGGCCAATATCCTGGGCTGGAAGCCATCAGCAAACTCCAGGTCAAGTGACTGCGACAGGAAACAAACGTATGTATTCATGAGAACTTTTTCTTCACTGAAATGAATACCTTCCTTTTATCAGCAGAAATACAACCTTTATGAAGGGTTTCCCCATAAACAAAGGAGAAGCAAGGAGGCCTAGGCTCCCATTGGAGCCAAGCTCTGAAGACATCGTTCCAGATGGAATGATTAGACAAACACAAAGTTTTCTCTCCCTTCCCTCAAGCTATGGATCATGCTCCCCCACATACCGCTCAATCATTCTGTAGTTTACTGACAGGAAAACCCCTGTGCTGCCAGGCTCAGTCAGGCACCAAACCAGCTTGACAATGAATTACATACAATGCTCTTTCAGTACATCTCACCTGCAGCGGGATCTGCTTCATCTCCTGCTCCGTCTCCAAGGAGCAAACGTAAAGCGAATGCGTGTCCATGTCCATGCACACCAGCACTGCCTCCCCCACCACGCTGCACACGCTGTTTAAGCTCTTCAACCACGGGGCTGCTACTCTGACCTGCCAAGTGCGACACAGACAAGGAGAGGAAGTTGTCAACAGAACAAAATCTTCAAAGAACCAACTTGGACACAACCAAGAATTTAAGTCGGAATTAGTTTTACCAATGACCCTGGGAGAAACTATCTATCAGGCTGAGATTTACAGGATGGTCCTAACTAACAGCCACAAGTCTAATTCAGTTTTGCTTTTAGGGCATTCAGCAGTGAAATCCATTTATTGGCGTGTAGGCAATGCCACAGTGAAAGGGAAGTTTATCTATACTACAACAACAACTCTGCACACCATGCTACAACCCATCTAATCGGAAGTACATTTGTTAACATCAAATTCAGTATTTTGGATCCATAATCGAGCACTACCTGTTTTGTAATTTCTCCATCTTCTACGCTGAAGGTTAAAACATTCAAGTGGCTCTGGGGAACAATTCCAAGCACATGGATCACTCCAGTCCCATGGGAATACAACAGCTGGTACTGAGTATTCTCACTGCAAGAGAAGCAGCAACCATGAAGCACTGACTTCTCACATTACTGTTTTCAGGTGTTTTCAAAAGCATAGGGCAAGTACAGCATCCTTTCCTCTCCAAGGCAACAGGCTCCCTGTCAGAAGTTTACACTTCTACTTAAAAATATTTTCTTGCCTTTCTGGTAAGTGTTCCACCCATTTCTGGTGCCCGTTGGAAAGGTAGTGAAGAGAGATAGCTGCCTTCTTCAGGACTGCTACATATTTCACCACGTCCTGTAGCCCCACCAAACTAGCCACCTGGAAACTAAGCACAGGTCAGAGACAATAAGTTAGAAAGTTATTTTCTTCTAGGAAAAAAATCCACACTCTTTGTACCTTCTTCAAACACTTAACATCAGACTTGAAGTACAGTTTATAGCCCAGTTTATCTACCCTTGCTGATCTAACAGACAGTATTAGGCAGGAATCCAAACACCCCAAACCAGATACAGATTGAATGTGTTGTATATTTAAAGAGAAAATCCATCTATGAAAAATATTTGTATCTCTTTCTCTTACTGGTTTGCTAAGAAATAGAAAAAGCATTAGATTTAACAGCAAGGTTCAGGGATTCCTGAGGAATTCAGCCAAATGTTATTTTAGAAACCTTACGTCTAACTATTTTTTCCTGTTAATGGAAGTCCAAACAAGGTCAACAACCCCTTCCTTCCCAGACCAGGATTACAAAGTGAAAGAGACAGTTCAAACACAAAGCCTACCTGCCAGTGTCCAGTGACATCTCCCAGTTCAACCCTCCGATGTTGGTCTCCCAGGAACGCAGAATACGTCCAGCATTGGACACAGTGATGGCATCTGCCCAGGAAATGAAGAAAAGGAGATGAACATCGAACTTGTAGCCTACCACAGATCAACAAGGCAATGAGTTCTGGCAAATTCAACTTGTGGTCTAACACATGGTTGAGATCCCATGTACAAGGACAACTGCTAGCCCCAGCACACCATCTGCATATTCTCCTTACCCTGCCCATGGATCAGCATCGCATCTATTGCTCCTTCGGGGGTTCCCTTGTCTACATGGCGCCACACTGAAGGAAACACAGTTAAGTGAGAACAAGATTTGTACCCCAAAGGCATTTGTTTGTTATTGTTTTTAAACCTAGACTCTTTATGGCAATAAGCTTATGCAGAGAACACTCTGCCTGCCCTAAGCAACAGCTTTTGAACTGCCGGCTGAATCCTCCCCATCTGGCAATGCAGTATCACCAGCATTAATTTATCAGTATAAAAACCCAGTGTAACTTGATTGATACATTAACCCCAGCACAACAGGCATATTCTCCACAACAAAACTCTGCTTCACTCACGGATTTCACCACTCCTGGAGTTCAGGGCGGCCACCACGTTCTTCTCGGTGGCCACAATGAGCTTCTTCGAACCCTGCGAAGCCTCCAAGGAGGCGAACTTGAGCTTCCCCACGTACTGCTGCCTCCTGCGAGAGGAAAAGTGGGCCGGGGTTAGACGGGACAACGGGGCGCCCCGCTGAGGTGGCGGGAGGAGGAAGGCCCGACGGGCGGCTGCCGGAGGAGGCAGCAGGGCGGACACAGGGCCTGCTTGCAGGAGGAGGATGTCGGCGCGGTGAAGACCCCCCCTCAGCTTTCCTGCAGCACTCACCAGTCAAACTTGCCCACTTGGTCCTCATAGACGGCGGCCGCCACAGGCAACAACAGCAGCGCCCCCAGCCCCGCCGCCATGGTCAGAGGCCGGCGGCGATCCCGGCGCCGATCCCGGCGCCGAGGGGGCCTCGGAGCACGGCAGCGCCATGCCGTAGTCTAAGCGGGACCGCAAGGGTGAGTGCCCCGACCTCCGTCTCCCCTCCGCTCCCCCGTCCCCGCCCTAACGCCGCCTCTCCCCGCAGTTTCCCTGACGCGGACGCCCAGGAAAGGGTTGGAGGCCAAGCAGGCGCTGATCGCTGAGGTGAGTGCGGTGCGGCCCGGCCCGGCCCCGCGCGGTGTCCCCGGCCCCCGCTAACCGCTGCCCTTCCAGCTGCGGCGATGCGTGGACACTTACAAGTACATCTTCGTCTTCTCCGTCGCCAACATGAGGAACAACAAGCTGAAGGACGTGCGGAACGCCTGGAAGCACAGCAGGTGAGGCCGGGTGGCGGCGGCGGCAGGGGCTGCGGGCCGAGGGGTGAGAGTTCCCGGAGCTGACGGCTGCCATCTCCATCTCCTCCTCCTCAGGATCTTCTTCGGGAAGAACAAAGTCATGATGGTGGCGCTGGGCCGGGAGCCGAGCAGCGAGTACAAGGAGAATCTGCACAAGGTAGGGGATGTGCATCCCAAAGCTTCGCGGAATAAAACCTCAAGGTATGACAGAGCTTCCTCGGGTCACCGTGCCGTGGGTTTTTTAATTGAATCCATCCGTATCGTGACACAAAAGCTCACAACCCCAGAAGATAAGTCCCTGGGTGCTGCCCAAGTCCCGCAGACGGCTTCTTTCTTTCAGGTCAGCAAACACCTGCGAGGTGAAGTTGGTCTCCTCTTCACTAACCGCACCAGAGAGGAGGTGGATGAGTAAGTACGCATCTGTCACTGCTGTGGCTGGTCTCTTCTCCCAAGAAACAAGCGATAGGACAAGAGAAAATGGCCTCAAGTTACACCAGGGGAGGCTTAGGATGGATATTAGGAAAAATTTCTTTGCTCAAAGGGTTGTGAAGCATTGGAACAGGCTGTCCAGGGAAGTGGTGGAGTCGCCATCCCTGGAGGTATTTAAAATACAGGTGGATGTGGTGCTGAGGGACATGGTTTAGGGGTGGCCTTGGCAGTGCTGGGTTAATGGTCGGGCTCGATGATTTTAAAGGTCTCTTCTAACCGTAACGATTCTAGGAAATGCTGAGCAGCTTTTTTTTCACTCGACTACTCTACTTCCTGACATTTCTCTTAAAGCAGTGATGATCTCATGAGGTTTTTCCGCTTGTCTTTCTCTGCCATCCCTGACGCAGTGGGGAAGAAGTTACGGCAGGCTGTGCCATAATCCCCGTCTTAGCCAAGGAATGTTCTCTCCGCAGCTAAAGCTGTCATTCCCTGTCACAGGTGGTTCTCCAAATTTAAAGAAGTGGACTTTGCCCGCGCAGGGAACAAGGCGACATACGCAGTGAGCCTGGACACAGGGCCCTTGGAGCAGTTCCCCCACTCCATGGAGCCTCAGTTACGGCAGCTGGGATTGCCAACGGCATTAAAGAAAGGTACGTGAAGCGGCCAAGAAGGTAAGCTTTGGGTTTTTTGTCCACACAGATATGATCTTTTAAGGACAATGTTAAATAATCAAATAGAACTTAGTTTTGGATAAAATCTGATAGACAACTTGTTCAGCTGGTGCTAGAACTCATTATATTCTTCTCACACCATTCTCCCCAAACTGATGTCAAAGGATGAGTGAAAAAAAACAGCCTTCCAGCCAAGCCTAGGGCATTGGCATCCCGTTCGGAAACCACATGTGGGATTTTTTTAGAGTTGATCCCACCCAGCTTCTCGGGGTGTCCCAATAGTTGCATGGAAAGGCATACGCTACAAAGGGCAGTGTTTGAGTTGTAGCTCTGCTCCTCACATTTCAGTGGCCTTTTTTAGTATTTTGAGCCTGTTCCAAGAGCTTTTGTTCCTGCAGGAGTGGTGACGCTACTTTCCGATTACGAAGTCTGCAAAGAAGGGGATGTTCTCACCCCTGAACAAGCCCGTGTCCTGGTGAGTAATGTTGTAACACATGAGCTACTATTTCCCCTGATACAAAATAATTAACTGTTCAGCTTAATTCCACTGGAGGGTGTGAGTTCTTGGATGAAGGCAAGCAGCACTTCTGGGTATCAGTCAGTGGGGTGCAGCAAACATCCTTGCTCATTTCTAATGCGAGTGCTAAAACTCTGCAGCAATTACTGCAGCTCCTGCTTTGCTGCAGTTCCCGCCTGGAAGCGATATTTACTGTAAGTGGTTTTGCTGGGCTGGCC